AGAGGATACAAGTGCACCCAACAAAAGATAAAAAGAATATGTATATAATAGATATAATATGTATACGACTGATGGATACCCAAAGAGGGCGCACTCACCCAATATGTTTTTTTTTAGCAGAGAAATTTTGACATTACTTAAAAAGATTTTTTTAAAGGGACAATAATACGGAAAATTAAGATAATAGAGAAATAAAGATATGAAGAGGCTGCCATTGGAAGCAAACATATGTTATTAATGCATCATTAACTATGGAGTATAGAAGAGTATGTTACCCTTTCGCAAATCAAAAGGTAGAAAAGAGTAAATGGTTGCGCTGACAGATCTGGATAAATTATTGTACTGAGAGATATTCATTAAAAAGATAACAACAGCCATATAAAACAACAACAACAACAACAACAACAACAACAACAACAACAACAACAACAACAGCAACAACAACAACAACTACAACAACAACAACAACAACAACAGCGACAACGACGACGACAACAACAACAATGATAAAAACAACAATAACAAAAACAACAATAATATAATAACAAAAACAATAATTTTAACAACAATAACAACAGTCACAGCAGCAGCAACAACAACAACAACAATAACAATTGTAACAACGATAGCGGGAAAAAAGGACAAATAGACATAGTGTAACAGTAGATCATTGCTCCACCATGAAAGAGGGTCCATTCTGACTGTTATTTTCCCGTTGACCAGCTACTACAGTGTGACAAGCGAAGGGGGCACCAGATACGTCCGCAGAAAACACCGTCGGCCGGACGGGACATACAGTGACAGTGAATCCTGTCCCAGCGACGTGGATGTGGAAGCTGCTACTGCCAGGTAGGCCCTAGGGACAGTCCAACAAAGATTTCTGAGGGGTAGGGTGAAGTGGGGTGGGATGGGCGGTGTTTTCAAGGCCTCTTCTTCAGGGGTCTGTTTTGACTTTTTAGTGGGATTACGTTTTTCGTTAAAAAGCACTTCTGTGTGAGCTTTTTGGAAAATGTGATCAGGGTCTTTGTTGTTGTTGCAGCTTCAGCTGCTGTTGCTGTCGCTGCCGCTGCTGTTATTGTTGTTGTTGTTATTGTTGTTGTTGTTGTTGAATGTTGTTGAATGTTATTGTTATTGTTGTTGTTGTTGTTGTTGTTGTTGTTGTTGTTGTTGTTGTTAATGATGTTGTTGTTGTCATTGTCGTCGTCGTCGTCGTTGTTGTTGTTGTTGTTGTTAATGGTGCTGGTGATTATGATGCTGTTGTAGTCGGTGTTGTAGTTATTATTTCCTCTTCGTTGCTGTCGTGTTTGAAGTCACTTCTGCTACTATTACATAAATTATAGGACAGTAGTTCTTAATCAAATCATATTGTTTGAATTCATTTTTTTATTCCATCGGCTCTCCAATCTTTTAACATATCGCAGTTTTACACTTTCTCCTCTCTAAGAAGCATGCACAATGTTGGCCACTCGAATATAACCTGCGTTTTAATTTGATACTCTTTTAGTTTAGTTTTAGTAGAGGTTTTACGGTGCTCGCAACTGCATAAGGATATTTGATAGGAAAGAAGCAGCAAACCACACCAGAGCACCCGCCAACCACCCACTGATATTCTTTACATGGTATCTCCACTCGGAGCGTGATACCCTTTTTGTTTTTGTAAGCTTTTCATCACATCGTGTTTCTTTTTCTCCACAGAGCCGCCAAACAGGGCAAGGGAGGCAAAAAGGGGAAGAAGTCAATATCGGAAGGAAAGGAGAAAGAAAAAGGAAAGCGAAAAGATTCTGAAAAGGAGAAAAAATCGAAGGGGAAGGGAGGTAAGAAAGGGGGAGAGGACAGTGAGGACGAAAATAAGAAACGCAAAGGAAAAGCAGATCGACAGAAGGGTGAAGATGCGGATGACGAGGATAGCGATTACAGTTTGAAGAGTGTGGTGAGTCAACCATGAACGTTCAAAGTTGTGGGTGGGTCATTATTTCTTTTCAGTATGTTATTTATTTATCTGTTTTGTTGGTTTTTGTTTGGCTCTTTTTTTCGGGGGGCAATGTAAATGTACCCACTGTATGGTCTGTTGCTTAAAGGGAGACGTTGATAAAAAGTTAAAATGTTTAAATTCTGCCTCTTCTTCGTCGGTTCAGTATTTCTATTGTTTTGGTTTTTGTTCCTGCTGAAAATTCTGTCTACCAACACGCTCGCTGTAAACAATTATCCCACGGTAACAAAAACTCTTTAAGTTTAAGCATAGATCTACGCCCCCCCCCCCCTTCCCCTTTTCCAGCCCTTTTCCAGTAAAAGGTAACAATTGAATGCAAGATGACAGATGGTTAGGGCACACAATGGTACACCTTCAATGATAATGTCTCCCTCGTATTTTCATATCAAGACTTATTCCACCAATTTGACGAGCAAAGGTACAAACTTTAGTCTAATAACCGCAAATCAAGTTAGAACAACTCAAGTACATGTGTATCATTTTAAAGGTTTTATATAGGTTAAGTCGTGGTAGGATTAATGGGACTAAGCTTGTTTTTTACACTTGACCTTTTTTTTACTCTTTCAGCACGACACGATTTCGACAGTAAACGGTTCTAAGAGATAGCCCGATTTCACTTTAAATTGGAGTTGTATATCGAGATATTTATTATATTTTGTTTGTTTGTGTTTTCTGGCTTCCTCTGTTTCGTATTCTTTACAATGTGCTGCTCATTAAGAAAATGCTTCTCCAATAAATCCATGTTTCTCAACGTTTCCTGCACTATTCATGAACTCAGGTGAGTGAGGGAGGCACCCGACGAAAGATGAAGATGAAACGAATTCGCGACGAAGACGGGAATGTGGTAGGCTATGGTGACGCCATACCAGCAGACGTGAGGGCGTCCTCTGTCACGGGAAGAAGAGGTAACCGACTCGTTCGTTTGTTTGTTAAGTAAATCGAAGCAAATCGACACAATAATACATGTAGTCGCTTTGTTGTGGGAAAATGTAAGACGGACGGCCAGAAACAACAGAAGGAAAGTAACAAAGTGAAACCTACCAGTGGCGCCCTCCAACCACCCGCACCGACTCGCTAGCTGCGCACACGTTATATTTTAAGATAAGATAGGATAAGATAGGATAAGATAATATATAAGAAATGATAAGATAAGACAAATCTTCATTGTCCAGATCCTGGCACGGTGGTTTGGTATTTCACCAAGTACACGCACACACACACACACACACACACACACACAAACAAACAAACATACTCACTCAAACACACACACACACACACGCGCGCGCACACACACACACACACACACACACACACACACGCGCGCGCGCGCGCACACACACACACACTCACACCAC